CTGGGCACAAAGAAGCTGTGGCTAACAAACAGAAATTAATGACTGAGCTTCTGTTAGGTCAATGCAACAACTCATCAAATTTGTTCTGATAACTGAAGTTTTGGGACCTGTTACTATGTTATGTCCTACCAGTCCAGAAGTTTTAGCCTAAGTAATTTTATCCTAATAAAAAAGAAATTAACTTAAAAAAATGTTTTATGTTACAGAAATAACAAGAGGCTACACAGCACTGCAACTTCTACTACGCTTGCCTAGTACTTACAAGCTGGGACATCCATTTCAGATAATTTTGGATAAATCGAACAACTTCACAGCATAACAGAGAAAATTGTCTCTGTATCTTGCAGAATGTAAAACATCAGATAACTCCTGAAATGAGTAATTACAAATATGACAGTCTTCTATGTTTAGGCCAACAGTCTGTTGATGCCTTTCCACCTATATCCATTCTTTCTGAGTATTAACTCAAAGGACACTGACAAGTCTGGCTGGGCACCTCTTCACATAGCTGCAGGGTCACTAATCACAGAGGTAACAACAACTTGAACTGCCTCTTGAGCAAACATCAACTTTGCCAGTCCAACTTGTGGAAGAACTGCCCTTCATGTTGCAGCGTACACAGCATCACCTAAAGTGAGCAGAATTCTAGGTGTCACAGACTGCATCTGTTTACTATTAAATAATGGAGACTACATAAATATCCAAGATCATGGAGGACAAACAGCTATTCATGAGGCCTGCTGAGGTGGCAGAAAGGAAATAGTTGATATTCTGTTAAGAGTATAAAGGAGACATGAACAGTTTAACAAGAGATGGGCAATCTCCACTCTTCATTTCTTCAACGCAAATCAAATTATAAAGATACAGCACTGTTGAACAAGTTGCTAGGTTTCTTGTATCCACTGAAGTAAAGAGATAATCAAGGACACCCACCCACTGGACTTCTCAGAATTGCAAATGCTGAGACTTTCTTATAACATTATCACAGAAATTACTGTCTCTGCCAGGTACCTGCAAAATGACTGTTAGAAGAATATACGGTGAGAGCAACGAGCATTGGCTCAAAAAAACAGGCTCCCAGTAACTGTATGGAATTCTTTATACAACTACCAGGACTTCAGACAAAAGGCCATGATGATGCTAAACACAAAAGCAAACAGGAAAACTGTTGACCCTCAAACAGTTGGCAGAAAAATTTAAATTAATCCAAAATGAAGATTGTGTGTTTTCAAGTAATTCCAAGTTTCTACATGTGGAGTTTTAGTAATCAAGATGATGTTTACACTAATTTCCTCATATAGCTACCGTATCAGATGCAGAGAACCTCTGTAGGAAGCAGAGTAGAAAAATATATATTCACTTCCTTGCTATTTGAGTCTATCAGTTTAAGAGAGGGCAGGAGGAAGATATATCTACCTATGCTTCACATTTAAGCCAACCAATAAGTCAAAACTCTTCTTATAATTAGAGCTCAAAAAAAACTTCACAGGAACATATAAAGGGCATCCTATTCTAATCATTCATAGGGTTATTTTTTTTTTAAGTCTGCTCTTCATTACTTTTAATACCAATGAAACCAAAACTTTTAGTTCAGTCACATCACCTACAATTTCAGTCCATTAGAGGAGACAGGAACCATTCTGAAAGACAGTAATTATTTGCAACTGACAGAATTATTTTTTTTTTTTTTTTAAAGCAACTAACTGTAACTTGAACATATTTTCAAAAGCTAACTGATATGCTGTTAGCAAACTGAGATGTGGTCAAGGGGCTTTGCTTATTTTTATAATTACCTAAAAAAATTTTTTTTAGGTAATTTAGGTCCTACCCTGGTTAAGGAAAGGCCAAGACAAAACAAAACCAATCTGACCATCCCTGTTTAGAACAAGAAAATGGCTTTACAAAGGAGAAAACATTTCCAGAACTTAATCATAATTCACTTGTAAGTCAATGTAATTGAGTATTACACCTATAGTAAAGAAAGTACGCTACTGGTATAGACAAAGCAATGTATTTTTTCATATGTAACATAGCTAAACTCTTAAGAGCGCAGACCATCTCAAATATAACCATGTAAGTTATCTTTGTTTTCTTCAACCTCAAGTAATAATTTGATAAACTTACTTTAATGTCTCGATGCATCACTCCCATGCTGTGGATATAGCATACTCCTTCTAACAACTCTTGAAAAATTTTCATTGTCCAGCGGACATCCACAAGATGGTATGGACCTTAAAACAATTTAAAAATTTCAGTTAATTTTACTCAGTTATTTAAGTTTATGGTGTTACGTCTTGTTGAGTTCTGTTCATTTATGATGCAGAAAAAAAATTTAACAGAATGAGCACAGTCTGAAAATGGAATTTCCCATGCTTCTCCTAAGATAATATTTTTGAAACAGCAAAGAGTCACTAACCTCAAAATTCCAGAAAGGAAAGTTCAGGGCACATGAACCTATGCCCTCCAAAGCACATCAGATAGTTATTTGATTATTAATTTAACCAACTCTACTTCCCTGTAAGTGCTGAATTAGAATAAAAAATATAGTTCCAGATAAAATCATACTAATTTACATAATGACATGTTTTCTGTATTGATTTGCACTCTTCCTTTTTGGATCCTAATCCTTCTGCTGTTGTGCTACCCTCTGAAATTCCCAAATCTCCTCTGGCTGTAGCTGTCATACATGAACTTACCATCTGGTTGTTTTTACCATTTCCCACATTATTATTTTATTAAACTACATTGTCTTCCTACTTTAATAACCCAGATCTAACATGTCTGTTGCTACTTTGAACACTCACTATTTACTGCTACTTGGGTTTCTGTTTCTTAATGTCTAACCTATGATAGCATTTGCCTTGCCTTTCCTGTCCTCTCCTCTTGCCTGTGAAAATGTGTGAAAATGGCGTTTTGCAAGGTCAAATGCCCCAGTAATTCTGTCATTCCCTGATCAGGAACATCACCTTTTATCTTATGAAATCAAAAAGACTATGAGTACAGGAGAGATTAGTGGAAGTCAGCTGGTAGTTAGCTGGTAAAAAAAAAAAAAAGACTCCATGACTGAAGAGAACAACAGATTTATCTTAATAGTGATTAAAACTAAGATTAAACATTAATCATACAGTTTGTGTCTTACAATCTGTTAAGCATATGCGCTTTTTATACAACCAGCCCAGGGAAAGGAACATGTGTCTAATCCTTTAAGAGCACTAGACTTGTTCTTCCAAATGTCAACAATTATTGAAGATGGCTTGGTATCAGGACGTGAGAACTCCTCTGGCCACTCAAGCAAAGTAAACATTAGATTCATTAGACTAATGACAAATTAGCCTGCATAGAAATTTTGATTCTTAAGAATAAAAAAGCTTTTAAGTATGTTGTAACCTGTCTGGAACAAAAGATGTATTTCTATTTTCCACAGCACATAAATTAGCCTGTGAAGAACTAGCTCTATTTTGTAGCAGCAAGACTATTACCAAAGCAAAATTTCAATTATTTAAACAGCTTAAGAGAAAAAGCAGATTCTGTCAATAAAAAACTCTACTCCAAATAGGTGGTATTGCCCAGGCACAGATCTCTCCAGGTAACAACTATTCCTCAGGCATACATTCATTCTTTTTTTGAGGAGTTGTCTAAAACTCACGAACTTAAATCTCTTTTTACCAACATCTATCATACAAAGATTCAATACTAGCTGCTATTTGATTAAGTGAATAAAGACTCTAACGAAGGAGATCCATATTACAAGCTGCTGAAGCAAAACATGAAATCAGGCAAGTGGATTTCCAATTAGGAAAAAAAGAAATATTTGCTTTATAATGACTAAGGAAATTCTTAACACAGTGATGAATCTTACTGGACGTTTCCTCTGTTCTCTCATTGCATCTTTTATTACGGTCGACAATCCAATCCCACAAGGATATTTCACACAGTTGCATTTGTATAAGAAGCATCAGATGATACTCCACCTAACAGAAAAACAATGGTCCATGATTTTGCCACTGTAATATGAACAGTAATTCCTTAGTTATTATCTCTAAAGCTAATAAAAATCATTTTTTTTTTTAATTAAACTTAAAAAAAAAATCAGTTAGATACCAGAATGACATCAAATACAGTACTACTAATCTACTGCATTCAAGAAGCAGATGCAACACTATCTACTACTTCTGGGTTGCCTTTTTTTTTTTTTTTGCTCGTTCCTCAAATTTTAACAATTGTTATATGACAAAAGCTAACAAAACAGACAGCTACATACCTTAATATTCAAATTAGAGTTTAAAGGATTCTAGACATACCAAACAGAGGTTCATTCTGGCTTAAGAAAACAGTGTAAATTAATATAAAATAGCAAAAAAAAAAATCAACCTTCTGATATGGAATTTTATCATTTATTAACATGAATAAGTAACTTCATACTTGGTTTCTGATAATGTACTAGTTCATTTGATAACCTGGACAACTCAAGCAAACATCTTTAAAATCTTGATTTCTTGCAAGAGGGAACTCCAAATGATAGCAAAACTGTGAAGCATTCCAGAGCTGGCTGTGTTATACAAAACATTTCAGTGGTATGAATGCCCACAAAGTTTTAGAAGCATAGGTAGAGTGGCAATTCCCTGCCCAAATCTGCTTCCCTCTCTTTCACATGTAATCCTACACGTATAAGCACCACATTTCACATCTAGACACCTTCATCAATAATACCCGAATTAGTCATCATTACTAAATGCTGAAGATTTTCAAGTTTGACGTTTTTCTTTTTGTGCTGAAGTAGTACTTTTTATTCATGTAGGTACTCTGAAAGGACCTAAGATGACTGACATATGGAAACTCTCTTGTATGCTGAGTTTTGCCAGCTCCTCCGGTCAGCTTCCTTGTAACGGTGTTACCCACTGAAGTACAAATTGTTTGTATTTTTGTCTCTAATCGCAGTAATTTCTTTTTTTTTTTTAATTTATCATTATAAATCATTCTTCTGTCTATCAAACTCTACTTTACAAACATCACTAAATTAGACAGCAGTTAAGTGGATCTAAAGAGAACTGTATTTACCTCAAACTCTCCACAGAGTGCTACATCATTCTCGGAGCATTCTTCAGTGCAGGACTTACTTCCAGTGGTAGCATCTTGATCCAGACTAGAATGAGGTCGCCATGCTGAATGATTTTTCACATCAGCTGATCTACTGCTAACACTATTTACAGAGTCTTCTTGTAAATCTATGGATAATTCACGTTTATTTGGTTTCACACACTCTTTACTATTCCTTATATCCGTATTCTCCACTGATTCACTATGCAGATTCCTAAGACTGGTACAGTCACAGGACTTCTCTTCTTGTGAAGCAAGGTCAGCAAAGATAATTGAACTACCACTTTCCACACTCTGAATGTGACAGTGATCACTGAAAATAAAGTAAGGGAGAGAAATCAAAATATGCACACAGTTTTAAACCATCTATTTGTGATGCACCATTCTTAAAACTTTTTTTTTTTTCAATTGCAAACTGCATTCTAGAATGAGTTCAGCTGCTTCCCCATATAAAACTTTACGGTTACATAACTGGCAGTGGAGGCTCCAGCCTTTTTCATACCTTCCCCCCTGCAGGGATTTCTGAGAGCTGACCCAGACAGCTCAGATACTTCTGTCCAGTGAATGCTGTGACCTAGGACTGTATGTATGATGCATCTCTACTCCTTTCAACTTAGGAAGTCACACTGTATTTCTCATAGGACTCCATCTCCTTATTGAAAGGGCTCATCAACACTTCTGAGGAATAGAAGGCCCCATCTCTCTAAATCAGACTCCACAGTACTAATCAGTGCTGCTGACTGGCACAGAACTTCTGAAGTAAGCTTGAAGCCCAGTACTACATTCAGGCACTCAAACTGAGAGATCCAAAGAAGGTAGAAGTATCCAGTAATGTTCTTCAGCTTACGCAACAAGAGGAGAAACAATGACAAGGATAATGAGGACTTTTTTTGGTTATAATTTGGAAGCAAAAAGCACTTGTGCAATATATGCTGAATTCTGTACTCTTTTAATGTTACTTTAAAAAAAGCCTCATGTTAAAGCCAAACAAATGTTGTCACTGAGATTTACAATACTTACTTGCTACTCTCTTGCTCCAAAGATAACAGCTGCAACTCCATTATTGTTTTATCTACTGGATTAAAAGATAAATATGGTATTTCACAAAACAAAGCATGCATATATTTACTATACATTAACATTTAAATTCAGTAGGATGCTATAGCTTAACTTCATTATCTGTAGATATCTTTTTATCTATTTCTGCTGCTGCAAAAGGTGCTTGTTAGTCTACTAAGAAGCAACCCTAATGTTTTTCATTTTTCTCTAAATGGAAAGAAATTACATGCTTTACAAGGTCACTGAAAGGGTTGTACTGGGCTCCCTGAGACATTCATCTAGACTCATCTTTAAGATGACAGCCTGTTCAAAATTAGGGCTTATAATATATATGAAAACACACAGTTAAAGGAGTAGCTCCAGAAGGCACCAGTCTTTGCATCACCCTGCTACCATTTTGAAGACATTTAATATTTTGGAAACAATTTTCATTAAAATTGTATATTTATGTGAAAAAGCAGTTTGTTTTAGCACACAGATGCAAATATGAAACACCAATCTTGTAAGCCAAGGAAAACCATTAAGTACCACAGGATCTACCTATAGATCTAGTTATGTACTTACACTGTTACTATTAAATACTTGTGATGTACTCCTAGCACTAAAAAGTTGCATCCCTCGAGATTATCAGTATCATTGTTTAAAGTCTTGTGTGTATCACTACACTGTCAACTTTTACGCATATTCTTTTGTGCTTATAGCTGACTGGGCATCAAGTCACTGACTTGGAAAGCAATAAAGTCATATACAGCATAAGCAAACCTCCCACTAAGAGAGGTTCAAAAGACTTAACTGCTAAAGGCATTCCGGAAAAGGACAAGAAAGAAAGGGACCAACAGATTAGGGTCACAAAGGGACCAAAGTATGGGAGGAGTCGAGAACAGAGAAACTGAAGAGAAAAACAGGGGGCAGGAAAGAAGGTATAAAATGAACACTAGATAAATTCTTAACAATTACAGACAGTAGCTGATACACAAAAAAACAGACTGATCTGTCACTGCAAAACTATGAACCCAATTCATCAAATTTAAAAAGTCTCCTATAGAAAATAAAATAAGACGGCAACTTTTTTTTTTCCCCATTATAGGTTTTTTCTAAACTCTTTTCCAGATAGGAAGAAAAGCATAGTGGGAGATGTATTCTGGTTTTGCTACAACTCTGGACTTCAAAAAATGGCAGGAAATTTGTGGGGTTTTTTTCTCCTATTCATCACTTTGCCCCCCAACATCTGCTGTAGCTCATTCCCCAGCATTCATTCTCCTCCTTGTCAACTCACTACTTTTTTGCATTGAAAGGTTTCCATTGCATTCCACTGAACTTCACTCAACTTTAAAATCTTCCTCATATATTACCAGAAGTGAAGCTAATACTTTCACAGTTCCAAAGTAACCATTAAGTAACAGGTAAGTTATTAGGCAAGAAATTGAAGTGCACAGAGGGACATGAAGACCTGGTGGTCACCTGTAGTTTGCTTTTTTTTTTTTGGTTGCTTTAAGGACAGAAAAAAAAAGTTATTTTGTCAGGAAGTAATACTTCCCTGCAAATAATATTACAGAGGTTATAAGCAGGATGCAAGCAAAAATTACACAACATGCTGTACTTTCCTTTTGGGCGTACTGTTTGAACTTGTTCCATCCAAGCAGTGTGATAGCCTACAATATTAGGATGCTGCAGCCCAGCCAGCACTTTGACCTCTCGAAGCACCTAAAAAGACCAAAAAGAAATAGTATGACTGCCCTTTATTCTGAGTAATTAGTAAACCCAAAGGATAACAAAAATAACAGTTTCTAACAAAGAAAGAAAAAAATTTTGATTTTCATAGTTGCAGAGCTGATCAAATTCAAGTTAATGATATGCTTCTTTTAATGGATTTATATATCTCTCATTTACTGTTTTGCTACTAGGTATTGACAGGGTCAAATCTTTAGAAACTCAGAATGCATAAAAAACATTATTAATGTTTTTTGTTGTTTTAGGAAATATTAACTGCATTACTAAATTAAATCAGAATCAGCTAGAGTTAAAACAGAGAAGGGAAAAAGAATACCTTCATGCAATCTCTTCTTGTAGCCTTCTTAACATTAATTTTTTTAATAGCGTAGAACTGACCATCTAACTTGTTTCTCACCTGAAAACAATTGCAATAGAACAAAATTAGAGGTTAATGTGTTTAGATTAATGAATTATTAAATCCTTTAGAACCAACTGTTTTCTAAAAATCAATTTCTGCACCCCATTCAGATAACCTCTCACCTGTATCAAGAGAATGAAACTGGGATTAAGCCCCAGCTGTCTAAGATAAGGATACTCTACTTTTGCCTTCTTTCAGGACTGCAAACACCTAATACCTTCTCTGTGAAATACTTAGCTTTACAGCTATCTTTCCATCAATAAGAAAAACCAACACTGGTAGGTCCAGATAACTGCTGAAACAGTTTCTCAATGAATCTGTGAGACCATAACTGTCATTTACACATGGCACATACCACGTGGGGAACCTTAGGCTGGCCACACCCTACAACTATTTAATACAATTCAACTTTGGGTTGGACAGTTTACATTCATAGTAAGGCTGCTTTTTTTTCAAGCAGCCACAACTGGAACATTGGAGTGTGCAGACTAATCAGTTTCTGTGGCTGTTTTAAGTCAATATATTACAATATTTCACACGAGAAACAACGAGTTTTGATTCACTTTAAAAGGGTCAATATACACAAAGACATCTGATATATCCTGCTTTAGATGAATAGAAACCACAACTGAGCATCTCTTGAAATGAAATGCCAACATCCTTCACATGTGCAGGTTTGCACCTGTTTCATTGGAAAACAAGTATTTTCCATTAGAAAAAAAAAAAACAGTCAAAACAGTAACTCTAAATGTTCAAAGAAAAACTAGATATAAACTGAACAGTTATAAATGGAAGGTAAAGGATACCTTGTATACTTTACCATATCCTCCTCTTCCTAGCCTTGCAACCTCATCAAATTCATTCAAGTATCGTGAAGTCTGTGCTTCAAAGAGAACTTCTTTTTCCCTAATCAAAAAAGTTAGGCTGCATTAAACTAAATTATAAGTAAGGTATTATATAGGCTACAGGTGCACACAATCTAGAAATACTATTTACATTATGAAAAGAAGAAGAAAATTTGACATTACCATGCTGTACCATTCACTGTTTCAGTGAATACTGAAAACCAGCAGACTGCAAGAGCATGCACATGTGCTACAAATCCACACTCTCTGTTAACAGAAGTATCAAGATAATTGCTTTAAGTTTATGCCTGATAAATCTTGTTTTCTTGAATGGTGGTACTAACCGTGAGAGTTGTACCAAAGAAGGAATTTTCACCAGATTGCTCTGAGAGTTTGGAGAAATTGTCACCTTTTCTTTTTCCTACGTTTCAGAGCCAAAATAAGAAATGCAGTACTAATTAAATTCAGAGTGGAGCACAGAACTTTAGGGAGGGAGTTAAGTTTAATATTTCTAAATGCTTTGAATACATACCCAATTGCATGAGAATCTCCATTATCAAGTTCCTATGAAACAACAAAATCCAACATAAAAACATGCCATACAGAATAACAGGTCTACCATGCCATTGGCACTGGCAGCTTAATCAACAGAAAACTACAACCATGTTCTTAGAAGAAGATGATGTTACCAACAGCCATTCACATTGTGCAGAGAGCTTCACCAAATTAAAGTATTATTATCCCACCAGTAATCTGCTAACATCTCTCTGCTGGAGAGATTACTGCCCTTCTAGAGTTCTGCTGGCAAACAGGATAACACGAGGGCTCTCAAATGTGCTTAAGACAAAATTAACTAGCTTAGTTCAAGCAGCGAGATAAGCAAACTGGTCTGATTCAGCCTGAAGCACATAACTCAGTATACAAATTGGGCCCTCTGCTAATATAACTACGTAAGGTAATCAACTGGAACAGTTAAAAGTTGAAAATGGAAGTCTGTCCATTGTCAAAAAAAGCTGTAGCAGTACTTAAAACACCTTTCTTGAGTTTATAAAGAATTTTGATTTTACTTTTTAAAAATTATTTAATAAGCAACAAAATGTTGTTGGCTTCAAAAGCTTTGGTTTGCACCTATGGAACCACAACACGCCATCCCAAACAGCTGAGGTAGAATGGGAGTACCATTTTGCATAATTATTAAAAAGACCCAATCCAATATCAAAAGAACACCCAAACAAAAGCTTCTTCGGATGCAATGATGTGTTAATCCCTTAATGCAGAGGTTGCCAAAGAAATTTAACAAAGCTTACCCCATTAAGTATTTGTCGATTAGCTGCTTTCATTAGTTCAGTAATGGCTCTATTATGCTGCAGTCTTACAGTACTAAATTCATCACAGAAGGCAAAAGGGGAGAGCAACCCTGTTCTTGTGAAAGCCTGACGAAGTACTGTACAAAGGAACGGAGAAAGGTCACATTAAATAAAGCCTGCCAGCAAGACCATGCAAACAGTTGCTGTTCATTAAATGAGAAACTTTATTTGAAAGATAGCACATCTGAAAAACTGAACAGTCACTCCTACTCTAATGCCATTTCCCATAGTCTTAGCAACAAAAACTAATTAAATCCAAACTAGAGCTGCTCTGTGGGAAACCCTTTGCATAATACAGTTATTTGCCATGCCCTTCATGGTCACAACTGCATCTCCTCGTCTTCCTTATCTGAGCAGATGAATTATACAAACATCCGCCCATTCACTTACTTGTTACCCTTGGACTCATTCTGATCAATGAAAAAAGAAATTCAAAGCATGTTCACAATTACGAGGGCATTCCTAATTCACGTACAAACTCACATGTTGTTACACATATTAATAGTAAAGAATGAAGTCACTCTCCCACCCCCAGCACCACATCTTTCTCAGCCGGAATAAAACAATGCTGTGGCAAACAAAAACGTAACAAATACCAAGATGGGTCCAACAGCGAAGATGCTACATAAATGTACTTAAATGTTTTAGAAGTTCCAAGGTCTTAAAAGAAACTTGCTCACAGGAGGTTTTTTTAAGTTTTTTGGTATTTCAAAAATCAGCCTGTTACTGATAACATTTACCGAAAGCGAGCCTGTAAGAAACCAGGAACTTTGCTACACAAGCCTTATGGAGAGTTACACACACCAGAAAAGTAGGAAAAACCCAGCCTTGTCAACATGAATATATAAGCCAAAACCACAAAACAGATATGATTACTGCAGTACATATTTATTTTATTTATCAGGCTTATTCCACTTGGGAAACTGGTTTAAACTATACCAACAGAGGAATGCCATTTTCCATACGAGTACACCAGGAAGCCAAGCACTTTGGAAGATGCCCAGGTCGGGCTTTTTTTTGTTCCTCTCTGAAAAGGAGAAAATTTGGTTATTTTTTTTTTTTCCCCTGACACTTTTGGTTTTGATAGAGATAATAGTAAGACCCGGGGCCAAATATCTACATTAGACTTCAAGAATGAAAAAATGACAGTTGTCTGCACTGTTGTCACCAGATGCTATAAATGGCCTCAAATTTGAGTACGAGCAATATGTTAGATTTTATTCTCTACAATCACGTATAGTAAGGACAAAAACTTAGATGGTTTCTCAAATGCATTAAGCATGTGCTTAAACGAACAGAATACCTAAGATGTCACATACTAAAAAAGATGGATTTCAAAAGAAACACTTCACACCTAAAAATGAGATCCCTGAATTCTATTTTAAAAAATCACATGAAAATAAAGGACTTAAAGGTATTTACTCTGATTTTCACAGACAATAATTTTGAAAGATTTAGTGAAGACTTCACTACAGCCATTTCTCAATAAATATTTTTATTAAATTCTTCTTCTGTGTTTTTAGACCAGATTTAATAGTTGGATAATTTACCCTGCTATCCTTCTCATGATGCAACTCACACGATTTAGCTGGAACAGAACTCTCTGATCCTTGGATCTACAACAATATTCTGGTCCTGTTTTCAAAAATAAGACAGGTCCTCCTTTCCCAATTAAGTTGATTCAGAGTATTCATCCTCTTTGCAGAATTACTCTTGTACCAATGGGATGAGACCTACAGCTTTTGTATTGATATTACACTGTAATTTTGCACAGAAGAATGTGGTATATACAGACAGTAAGGCAGGTGAAGAGACAGAAAAGAATTACTCTTACTTCGGAACAAACACCTCGAATGAACGGGGTTGTGCGTGTACATGTGGCAGATATGCTCCAGCAGCGACACAAGCAGCAGCTGGTTTTGGATGGTCGAAGTGAAATTCACAAACTTTTGCGACCCGTTTGCAACTCGCAGCTCCGCCGGCACATCCGACTCTGCAAAAGGAGAATCAGACGAGCGGATTTCGGTCTCAGTACACGCCTATTTACCAAACACCGAAACCACATACCAACGCGCACAGCTTCAACGCAGCCCTGGCTCACAAAAAGGCACCACGCGAGCTGCCACCGAGCCAGAAGCTCAAGACACTAACTAGGAACCTAATTAATGTTTAGAAGCGCATACGGAAAGAAGGGAACGGGAGTGGACGAGGCTCTCCCCGAGGGAGGGGGAGCTCCCGCAGCGTCCGCGGGGCCCTCAGGGCGCGCACGGCAAGGGCTTGCCCGCTCTTGCATCACCCC